GGTTTTGTCGTTCTACTATGTCACGTATAGTCCCAACTAGATGAAGACACACGTTGTATGTCAGCCGACTGAACTACGTATGCTCCCCCTCCCCCGCCTCTCTCTCTCTCTCTCTCTCACTCTCTCTCTCTCTCTCTATGATATACTTCGGAGGTACTCATGCACTACATATGCAGATGCGTGCAGCCACAGCTCTCAAGTTCAATTGTATTTATTTTCTAGAAAAAGTAAAATTGTACTTACATGCATGAATGTTGTCTTGATTTCCCCCCCCCCCCCTCCTCTCTCTGTCTCTATGATATACATCGAAGGTACTCATGCACACACATACCTGCATGCACTCTACGTATGCCGATGCGTGCAGCTACAGATCTCAAGTACAGTTGTATTTTTTTTTTATAGAAAAAGTAAAATTGTATTTACATGCATGAATGTTGCCTTGATGTCCAATGTTTACTATTTTCCGTTGTCATTTGAAGTATGACCTTTTGCTGGCATTTCAGTTTTGTTATGAATGAGAAATCTGTTCTGCAAAATGATCTTGAAAGAAAAGAAATAGATGCGCTTTCCATACATCAATTGCCTCCCAACGACAGGCTATAACCTATACCCATCTGAATGAATGTCTCCAAATGCAATAGATATAGTGATCCAAACTCTCATGTATGGACTGATGTGCATGTTCTCACAGAAACAAAATAGATGCAAGTGCATGAATTGTCAGTGCATACTCACACTCTGAGGTTTGCTTTGAGTCACAGATGTTGATCTGATTTCTTGGGTGTGGAGTGCAGGTATAGACAGGGGTGGTTCTATCACAGGGAGCTTCGATTGTGGTTCATAAGGGTTGGAAATGCGGAGCCTGTTGTCAAGACAAAAACATACGAGAGGGGTTCCTATCATTGCTTTGATCCTAACACATGGGAAACTGTTAGAAAGGTATGAAAAAAGTTGTATCTTTCTTTTCTTTAATAGATTAGAGCAGTTAAATTAAAAAAAAAAAGGTATGAACAAAGTTAACATCAAAGGGACTGCAATAGAATCTCAGTGTGTACTTGTGCTGTCTTGTGTTTTAATTTGGAGTCGCTGCAAATTGCAGGATAATTTTGTCATCTCTTATGATATGCTCGAGAGCCGATCCCAAATAGATGGGATAAGACTCGGATGATGATGAGGATTACGATATGCTTGAGGGACCATCTCTACCTCAACACTAACCGTTAACACATGGCATTGAGGGTTTTGCTGCATTCTAGTCACGGCTGTAAATTCTGCTCGTCTTCTTCTGTGAGTGATTGTTTCCCAAAGAAGTGCATAGTCTCAACTCAATAGAATACATACCCAGAGTATGTTCGCCCTGGCCAGGTGATACACATTGTGTTGTTGGAAAGCTAGTTACAACCTGGCAGAAGGAAAATCAAGAAACTGCCTTATGGATTGCGGGTTAGAAACACTAACAAATGTCAACAGCTGCCAAAAGCTATCTGACTGATTACATCTTTGTGCCTCTTGATGTCTACTTTCTTTTGCTTTCCAGAATTTTTAAGCTTAAGCCTTGATATTTGATCAGTGCCCATTAGATTTTAGTAGTAAAGATTTGTTGTTCAGTTTGCTATATCTTCTTTCCCCTAACCTCATGTGTTGATGTTAGACAAAGCCTAACCTGCTGAGGCAGTGGTGTGGCATGCTCCACGACAAGGTGGGCATGCAGACTGCACGACAAACGAATGCGAGAGAGAGAAGGGGTCGGGGGAGGCCATTATATCCTACTAGCGTTGAAGAGAGAGGCGGTTGTATCCTTATAACATCGTCTTGAGGGCGTTGTTTGTTCATGCATGGGCATTAGATAGATGAACCCATTTGTTGTGGCATCCATTGTCCTTTTTCAGCGGTAGGTGGTGGGAATGATCTGTGCAGCCTGGGCCATTCTCTGCAGTTTATCATGGGGTGGTTAAGATGAACACAGGCAATTGAAGCAACATGCTTGGTAATTATTCTGTCGTATTTATTTCTGGAGGGGGTGGGGGGCGAAGGGGGTGGTGTTGGGTTTCTACACAAGTGCACCAAGAAGTTCACTTTAAGAATCCTTCTTTCTTATTGATTAATGATCTAAAACCATTCCAAGGATTTCCCAATCTATTTCTCACCAGAAAGTTGATGGATTTGGAGCTAAAATGGTCCAAATCCATTTTTTTCTCAATAAATTGCTTTTAGAGGGTAAAATGCTGGATGTGTGGAGGGTAACATTTCTCCCTTTTTGTGTAATTTCTTTTTTTGTTTGTGGATTTTTTTGAAGTACTTTTATTAGTACCATGGGAAATAACAATAAAGAGTCTTTTTCACATAGAAACGTGCATAACGGCCAAACCCCAAAACAAAGTAAAAGAAAAAAAAAGAAAATTTATAGATACCCCATCATATTTTGTAGGGCAAGCTTTCTATATCTCCTATAGCACAAAACACCCTCTATCCAATTGTCCATTCTGAATGAACGGTTGAGATGGTTTCAACCACAATGTTATGTCTCTACATTATTTTATTTTTAATTTTTTTTACAAAATATATTGACACCAAATTTTTGGCTTCCACTCTCTTAAATTTGCACTTGTGAAAATTATAAAAATAATATTTCTAATAAAATAAAATGATCAAAATACCTTTGAAAGTTTCAAAGGGTATTTTGGTCATTTTATTTTATAAAAAAATTATTGTCATATTGTTTTTAGGTGCGTCCTATTGAGAAGATGGCACGTATTAAATTTCATATTCATACAATTTGTAGAAAAAAAAAAAACTAAAAATAAAATACTCTTTAAGGTGTTAGATCTATATCAAACAGTGAGTGGTGCACTTGACCTAAATCGAACGGCTGTATTGGGGTAAGTATATATCTTCTTGGGAAAGTATAACAACCTTTTCCTATTTTTTATATCACATCATTAATCCTAAAACTATTTATTCTTGTATCTACCTTTTTAAGTAAAAAAGCTTTTTGAATTGAAATATTGTTGGGTTTGGTGATAGATAAATCACTATACTTATATTATTTTTTAAGTGTATTATGGTAAAAAAGAATGGGTTTTCTTGGGAAGCAAAAATCTGATAGCTATTTTAGGGAGTTAAGGAAGATATAATACTCATTCTTCTCTTTGGAGGTTATGGGAAGGGATCTCCAAGATGGAGACGGGTCTCCAAGAGAGAGAGAAAGACATGGCTTTTAAGAGAGACGCAGTGGAATTTTGGATTAGTTAACTTTTCGCTTTTAAAGAGGGAGTCTATTAGTTGCTCTTTCTAGTAGCAATATAACAGTGGGAAAGAAGATGTTGAATGGCATTGTTGCTTGGTCGGGAGAGTGGGTTTAGAAAGGAAGTTAGGAGAGGGTTTTTTTACCAATGTTTAGAGATGTATTATTTCTTGTAATAAAAAATTGTATTCTTCATTGAGATAATGGATTTCTATTTGATGAGGTTATGGATGTAGCTCTACAAAGTGAACGACGTAAATCTTATGTTATTGTAACGTGATTATGTTTATTATTTTATTTCTTGCATTCGATTTACAATTTTATTCACCCATTTTACATTTAGCCAACTATATACATGATTTTGGGTGGGATCTCGGTATTTGGGATTCAGCAAGGGGTTCTCGAGGATGCTACAATTGATATTAAAGCACAAGGTATGTATAAGGCTAAGGCTTATATTTTTCAATGAAGAAAACGATAGATAACGACAGATAGGGAAGTTAGATGAATGCAAGATTTGAGATAGAGAAATATTAAGGCAAAGTGTTTGTGAAAATTTTATAATGGAGCAAGCGAGAATATAATAATTCAACGATGATAGACAAGGCAATTAAGGTGATTTTACTATCAAAGCGGGAATTGTTGGATTTGATAATTACCACATTACCATAGCTATATTTTATTCTCAAGATTAAGGGGATTATGGTAAAAAAGAAAATATGCTTTCTTAGGAAGCAAAAAAGTGATATCTATATAGGGTCACCCCTTGAGGGGTTATATGAAGAAATTTCCAAGACAGATAGATCTTTAGGAGAGAGAGAACGAGAGATAGAGAAAGTGGAGCGTTATTTAGAGAAAGGCATTATTTTTTGTAACCCAAAATTCTAATTTCATTAAGATAGTGGATTTTTACTTATCGAGATCATGGATGCCCTACGGGGTGAATCATGTAGATCTTTTGTTATTGTGGTGTGATTATTTTTATTGTTTTATTTATTGTACTTGATTTTTTGTTGTATTCACTTATTTCGCATTTGGCCAACTATGTAGATTTTGAGTGGGATCTTGGTATTTGAGATTCCTAATTTCGCGCGAGGGGTTCCTGAAGATGTCGCAAATACCCCCCATTTAAACCCATGTTTCTCTCCCAACATATGATGCTCAACATGTATGTGCCTTCTCTTCCAATATATGATGCCCAACATGTCTGTGGCTCTTGATCTTTGCTGTCCGGGACAAATTCACTGGACGGACCAATGAGGGTGGGACACATTTTATACACCGAAACGGCTTTTGCTATTAAAATTATGTTTGCGGGTGAAATTGTATGGGTTCGTCTTCTATATTCTGTTAGAGAGAGATTGCCTAGGGCTTTAATCATTCTTTTATTCTTTATCCTTTAGGGTAAATCTGTTCATTGTATATATAAATATACTACATATGTAAACAGAGGACATATGAATTGAATCGTGGTGTTCTCTTCACTCTCTCTAGAGTTTCATAAGTTCAACATGGTATCAGAGCCTCTAACGAGTTTCACACTCACTACTCTTAGCAACACCATCACCATCTGTAAGTGCATCCTTCCTCTTCTTTTTCCTGTATTGCTGAATCTATTAGCTTGTAGAGACCCTTCTTCTTAAGCAGTTTCTTCTCTCTTGCTTGAAAATCGTTTCTCTTCTCTATCTTTAAGTTGTTAAGTACTCTCTCTCTCCTCTCTTGCTAACATGTCAACTCTCAATCTCCTTCCCAAAAGTTTGTCCTCTCCAGTGCTTGATTCTTGCAAAGTTTGACCTCTCTAGTATTTGATTATTGCAAAAGTTTGTCCTCTCTAGGGCTTGAATCCTGGAAAAAAGACTTGTTGGTGTTTGTCATCTTGTGAAAAAAAAAGTGCTTGTTGGTGTTTCTCTTGAGAAAGGGTCGGTGTTTGTACCCTTGTAGGAAAAATAACTTCGGTAACTAACATGCCAAAGTAACCTATGTTCTTGTGGTTTATTTGTTTAACTTCAGTACTTCTGAAGTAGATCTTGGTTTGTTTAACTTCAGTACCCTATCTACCGAAGTTGGTCCTGCTTTGTTTCTTAAATTCAAAAACTGTGGTACCGAAGTACTCCATGTTATCTCTCACAATTTGTTCTCTTCAGGTGAAGACCTTATTTCCAAAATCTCAAGTGAAGTAACTTTCTTTATTATGGCCTCGCTGAGTTTCCCATCTTTCATTTCTATAAAACTTGGTTGAGACAACTACCTCAAATGAAAGGCCTAAGTTTTAAATTGTATTGAAGGTTCGAATCTCGAAAGTCACCTTGATGGGTCTAGTTGCCCTTCAAATGAATTTATCTTTGAGAAACCACAAGAAAATCAAGGCAGCAATCTAGAATTATCAAAGGATCCCACTAAGAGAGAGTTTGACCCTAAATTTCTAGAATGGCAACTGAAGGATAAAACATTATTGAGCCGGTTGTTCTCTAATCTCTCTGATGACTTGCTTACTGAAGTGATGCACCTAAAAACAGCTCAAGAAGTGTGATAGACACTTTACAATATATATCAAAGGGAAACTTTTGCCAATGTTCTCCAACTTAAAATTGAATTGATCAATTTATAAAAAGGTCCTCAATCGGTGACTGAATATCTGAAAAAGTTCAAAACTATATGTGAACATCTTGCAGGAATTAGTAGTCTAGTAAGTGATCAAGATGTGGTCATCTATACTCTCAAAGGTCTTGGTTCAGAGTTTAAGTCATTTGAGACTTCTCTTGTGACCAAACCTCCATTTCCGTCCTTTTTAGCACTTCAATCCTCTCTTATCACATATGAAACTCGATTTGTATCTTCATCGGTCATTGAGAGTAATCCTCAAGCTTTGGTGAACACATCTTAAGGGCACAAAGGTGGAGATGGCCGAGGAAGTGGTCGTTATGGAGGTAGAGGTCGCAACCAAAATCAGTAAGGCATCCTGGGAGTCAACCCATCTTACCACCAACCTCCTCAACTGAGAATGGGTATGCTACCTCGTGTAACCGGTTAGTACTATGGACAACATAGACATATTGCTAAAAACTACTGGGACATTAAAAATGCTTCATCATCTCACAATGCACTAGTGCATGATTTTAGCAACCTATTGGCCACTACCCCAACCAATCAATCATGGGTTAGGGACTCTAGTGCAACTGCTCATATGACATATGACAACTTTCAACTTTGAGGTATGATTCCTTACCATGGTCCCTCTATGGTTTTCATTGGAGATGGTACTGCCTTACTTATAACCCACATTGGATATGTGACTGTTTCTACTACCCTTAGTTATTTAAATATCCCCAATGTTTTACTTGTTCCCAAACTAAAGAAACAACTTATCTGCTGATGGGGTGCTAAGAGAAAGCTTATATGTGCTCTAAAATGATCAACTCTGTGGTCTTGCTACAACTATCTCTAAAGTTAGAGGAAGTACTTCTATTTTGTGACATGAATGCCTAGGTTATCCTAATTTCTGTATTGTTAGTCGTTTTGGAAGGGAGTTACCTCGACCTGATTTTGTTGATGACATGCCTTCTGGTTTATTATATTCATCTTGTCAGTTAGGAAAACATTATGAGTCTAAAATCTAATGCTCCTCTTTATTTAATTCACAATGATGTTTGGGGTCCAGCCCCAGTTACTTCTTTGTTTGGTTCTAGATTTTATGTTATTTTTGTGGATGATTACACTCGAAATACTTGAATATATTTCTTGAAACAAAAATCTAATGTGTTTGATTGTTTTATTAAATTTCATACCTATGTTGAACGTCAATTTGCTTGCAAACTCAAGGCCTTTAGGACTGATGGTGGAAGTGAATTCACCTCTCATACTTTCAAATAATATTTGAGTCAGCATGGCATTCATCATTAATATTCATGTCCATACACTCCAGTACAAAATGGTGTTACTGAGCGCAAGCACCGTCACATTATTGAGAATAGTCTTTCCATGATGTATGCAAGTAGTCTACCACAATTCCTTTGGGCAGAAGCTTTTTCCACAACAATGTATTTGATTAATAGATTGCCAAGCTCTACATTATCTTTCATATCTCCATTCCAAAAGGTTTTTGGTACCAAACCATATTACTCATTTCTTCTGGTCTTTGGTTGTGTGTGTTTCCCACATATTCATTATTCTCAAAGAAACAAATTTTCTCCTAAAGCTTATGAGTGTGGGTTTGTTGGGTACAACTTAGAACATAAATGTTATCGATGTTATGACAAGGTGTCAGATCGCTTCTTTATTGGAAGACATGTAACTTTTGGTGAAACTAGGTTCTATTTTAAGGATCAGTGTTCCCAAATTAATAGAAGTGATGCTATGTCAAATAATGTGTTTGTACCTATTTCAATGCCTTCTCAATTGCAAAGAAAAGCTCAATCACAAGCTCCTATCTCAGATAGGTTTACAAATGAACCATCTCAGCAACATCACACTCATCAGTCATCACCTCATTCTGACATGTCTGATCTACAACCTCCTTCTTTAATAGATTGCTCACCACCATTGTCTATCTCTCTTACTTCAAATTAGATTCATCACCCACAATGCAACATGGTTTACCTGAAGAACCCATAGAAGTCTCACCTATACCCCTACCTCCATCCTCTCGCTCAATACGACCTCTTAAACATTTGTCTGACCACCAGGTTTACTCTGCAACCATTCCCTCTCTGAACTCCACCTCTAAACCCATAAGAACAAAACATCCTATTGAAAATTTTACCTCAGGAGAGAGATTGTCTTCAGCTCATAAGGCATTTGTAACACAAATTTTTTCAAATTCAAGAACCAACCACCTATGAAGAAGCTGCCTTTGATACTGGGTGGCAAGTCTCAATGAAAGAGGAGATAGACGCACTCAAAAGGAATTATACTTGGGAATTAGTGTCATTGCCTCTAGTTAAAAATATGGTGGGCTCAAAGTGGGTGTACAAAGTTAAGGTTAGATCAGATGGTTCAGTTAAAAAGTCAAAGTCCATACTAGTGGCCAAAGGGGTTTATTCAAGAATATGGTATTGATTATGATGAAACTTTCAGTCCAGTTGTGAAGACACCCACCATTCGATGCATTCTGGCCTTATCATCTATGTTGAATTGGAAACTTCATCAATTTGATGGGAAAAATACATTTCTTCATGGTGATTTGAAAGTAGAAGGGTACATGCAGCAACCTAAAGGATTTGAAGATCCCTTACGGCCACACCATATTTGCAAACTAAAAAAAGGCAATTTACAAACTCAAGCAAGATCCTCGGGCATAGTTTGAGAAATTCAGTCGTCTATTTCATAGCATTGGTTTTGAAATGAGCAAGGTTGACTACTCCCTATTTCAAAAAAGATTATCCTCAGGTATTATCCTTCTTCTAATTTATGTGGATGACATCATTGTTATTGGAAGTGATATTAAGGGCGTTGAATATATTAAGAAAGCATTGATGCTCAACTTTGAGATGAAGGATATTGGAGAATTGAAATATTTTTTGGGTAATGAAATTCATCGGTAAGAAAAAGACATTGTTCGATTTACTTTCTAAAACCAGGATGTTGGGGTGCAAACCTATTTCCACCCCGGCTGAAATGAATACGAAGTTAAGGAATGAAGAAGGGGAGTTATTACATAATCCTACCTTGTACAGAAGTGTCATTGACAGTCTAAAATATCTCACATTTACACGTCCTGATATTGCTTATACAGTGAATACAATGTGTCAATTTACGCAAACTCTTAGACAACCTCATTGGGAAGCCACCAAAAGAATTTTGAGGTATTTAAAGGGTATTATACGTGATGACATGTTCTATACTTCTTCAAACTCACCTGATCCCAAAGCATATTCTGATGCTGATGGGCGGGGTGCCCTAATGATCGTCGGTTCATTACATGATTTTGTATCTTCTTGGGAAAGAGTTTAATTTCCTGAAGAAGCAAAAAACGATATCAAAATCTAGTACAGAGTCAGAATATCAAGCAATGAGTATTGTAGCTCTATACTTCTTCAAACTCGCCTGATCCCAAAGCATATTCTGATGCTGATTGGGCGGGGTGCCCTAATGATCGTCGGTTCATTACAGGATTTTGTATCTTCTTGGGAAATAGTTTAATTTCCTAGAGAAGCAAAAAACGATATCAAAATCTAGTGCAGAGTCGGAATATCAAGCAATGAGTATTGTAGCAGCAGAAATCACTTGGCTACGCATGCTTCTTAAAGAAATTGGAGTTGCCACAATTAAGCCAATCATTCTAAGTTGTGATAATCGAAGTGCCATGCGATTAGCCATCAATCATGTCTTTCATGCTCGCACCAAACACATAAAAGTTGATTATCATTTCATTAAAGAGAAGGTAGTATCATGACATTTGTTCTTTCATCAATTTGTAGGCATATTTACTAAGGCACTTACAAGATCAAGACACGAAAAGTCCATAGCTAAGCTCTGAATGCACAAGATGCATGCTTGGCTTTAAGGGGTTGTTAGAGAGAGACTTGTCTTTTGAAATATTGTATAGGGCTTTAATCATTCTTTTATTCTTTATCTTTAAGGGTAAATATGTCCATTGTATACATAAGTATACTACATACTTAATCTAAAGAGGTATGAAATGGATGGTGGTGTCCTCTTCAATATCTCTCTTTAGGGTTTCATAAGTTTAACATACTATAATATTCCCAAAATAAAGGAAAAAAAAAAATTCCAGGTGGAAGCCCATCTACCTCTCTTTCAATTTGTTAACGTAATAAGAAGTTAAGAGAGAGAGAGAGAGAGAGAGAGAGAGAGAGAATTGGTGGTGGTGGTGGTGGTGTGGGTGGTGTTATAAAGGTTGGGAGGGAAGCGGCGGAGAAGGAGAAGGGGAAAGGGATGGAGGCGATAGTGGAAGAATGTTTCTGCAACAAGGAAGAAACCCTACTAACGGTGCTAAAGACTTCGGTGTTCTTTGCAGGAGATGGATTCGCGGTGTATGACCCCATGGGACAGCTATTGTTCCGAGTTGATAGCTATGGGGGGCCCGATAACAAAGACGACAGGAATGAGCTCTTCCTTATGGATGCCTCTGGCAAATGCTTGCTCACCGTCCGCCGTAAGGTGCCTTACTTTACCTTCCACACAGATCACGTTTTTTTTTTTTTTCCTCTTCTTCTGGCCCATATTTGGAGGGGCCGCATTATTTTACCCCGATAGCTTTATTGTGATCTTTAGCTGAAAAAACAAGCAAACAAACCATTATTGTTACCATAGTCTCAGTGAATTTATGTTGCAGGATATTGAATAAAAAAATTTATGAGGCCAAAGGGTTTTTGTGTTCAAAGTTTTATTACTTGAGAAAACTTTCCTGAGATTAAACGCGCCTGCCTGTACTACTTGTTAAGAACTATTGTTGGGGTTTTAAAATCCTAGATCTGCCAAGGCCGGCCATGTAATGAAGTGAGAGGGACAAATGATGTTCATGAAAATCCTACCTCTAATGAATAATCTCACCCACCCAGGTGATGCGTTCTGAATGAATCAAAGACTGTTCCACTTCCAACATCAATCAGCCCATCTGCCCTGCCATTCCCTTCCCTTCCCTTCCCTTCCGAGTCTGGGATCATTTTGACCTCACGGAATCGAGACTTTTGGACTCAGATACTATTATTTTGACATGGGTCTCCCAGAACCACGGGATTTTTTCCCATGAGATAAATAAAAATCAATTTTTGGCCGTCAAATTTCGGGTGGGGTCGGGCCGGACCAAAAAGATCTTTAGCGCATTGTTGCTATTATTATTATTTATCATTTTCGATTTCTTTATCCCTATCCACGCTCAACCCAAACAAAATTTGGGAACCTCATCACCAGGGTACGCCACATTTCCAAAGGAAAAGGGCGTGGACTCATGAAATCCATCAAACAAACAAGCAAATAAAAACAATTTCATTGCATTCGACGAACTAATCCTAACCTTCAACAAGTATCCATCACGCCGGTCCTCCTTGGCCCTAGCGCGCCCTGTTTACCGTAAGGCGGGCCCACGCCTGCCTCTGACCAGGTTAAAGGGGCCTTGCCCCGGGCCAGATAGAATTACAAAATCAAAGAAAAATAGGGTCAGGTTGATCCTGGCCGGCCTTCTTGTGCCCTGGTACTTGGCCCATTGTGGCTCGGTCCTGGCCTGAACTCAGGCCACATTCCCTAAGTTTTTAGGGTCGAGCTGGACCGACCTACCAATACCCATAAATAAAGATCTTTTGAGCCGGGATGGTGCAGCCCGGGTCCGGCACAAAAATATTTTTGGCCTGCCTAACCTCTCCCATGCAGCCCAAACCCTGGTCGAAACTTGGCCCAGGCCAGCCTTGCAAACAAGGTGCCTCAAAAGAACTAGCCATAGAACATTAAGTCAAATTATAAATTGATTATTCAATTATCATATTGTACGTTAATATGAGCTGTTTTTTAAAACGCAAATCATATGATCAAATAATTTTGTTATTAAAAAATCATATTCATCAATTATAACTAAAATAAAAAAAAATCAAAGAAGTTGAGATAAATTGGAGATTTATTAGAACTCTACTTTGCAAGGATAGATTGTTTTTTCATGTCCATTATTTTAAATTTACTATTTTTTAAGCAAATATATTTCATAGTTACCTTAAAGAACTAATAAATTATCATGGTTCTTATTTTCAAATGCCAAATTGTGTCGAAAGATGCCATTTTGGTGCCAAAAAGCTCTGCAATGGCCTTAAACTCTAGTTTAATCCATAATTATAAATTTATTTAAAAATTAGAAAATATAATTATTTTTACGATAAATTTATCCTAATACCCATAAGAGATGAACTATTTAATAGTTTACCTAATTGCAACTATTCCATCTCATGATCACGTTTCTTTTGATAAGTGTTTTGAAATTAAATAAAAAGATATGGGTAATTATAAAATTTAATTAAAATTATAAAAATATAATTATTTCTATGAATGATTTATCCAAATACCCATAAGGAGTGAACTATTTAATAGTTTACCTAATGGCAATTATTCCAACTCATGATCATGTGTCAGTATTTTGAAATTAAATAAAAAGATAGGGGTAGAATATCAAATAATTCATCTCTCATAGACCATTGAATGAATTTCTTACTTTTATTTTGAAAATAAAATTAAAATTTGAAAAAAATTAAAGTCTAACATCTATTTTATTTATTTATCCATGAAACCTTAGAGATTCCTGCTATTTATATCCCATATAAAAAAGACGTCACAGTCAATTTAGTAATATGGTGAGGGGTTGTTCCCCTAAATGTCGCATATAATTCATTATTGTGCGGTGCGCAATAATGGTGTTGTTTGAGCGATTGTGACAGAGGCCGAGCCTTCACAATCGATGGGAAGGGTTTATTGGAGAGAAAGAGGAGGGTGATAAGCCAATATTCAGTGTGAGGAGGTCATCCATCATCGGAAGCTCAAGTGTGACCGTAGAGGTGTACAATAAGCGCAATGAGTGTGAGTACCTGCTGATAGAGGGCTCATTCTCCCGGCGCTGCTGCACTGTGTACAAGAGTGCTTCCAGAGAAGCAGTTGCAGAGATCAAACGCAAAGTCGCAACAAGTTCTATTGATGATCATGATCATGTGATGCTTGGGAAGGATGTCTTTTGCCTCTGTCTAATGCCCCGCTTTGATTCTGCATTTGCTATGGGTCTTGTATTGGTTCTCGATCAAATTGCGGGAGAACCACCTTTTGGAGATGGAGAAGAACAACTCCTCCCCACATCTCCTACCTCGTGATTTTGTTGTTGTGGTTGTTGGTGGTGGTGCTATTTCCCCCTCTCTCTATTTTTATTTATTTGCTTATCCTGAAGCTGGAATGTGCTGCTGGTTCGATTTTGCCAAGCTTTACGGCATGCAATGTTTCTTTAACTCCATTTTCTTTTTTCTCCACATTGTTTTGCTTGTAGGTTAGTTATAAAATTGTGATGCTCGTCACATTGACCATGAAACGAGTGCTCAAATCATCGATTATACAAGGACATTTTGCAATTTTTGTGTATGCTACTGAGAGGTGGAATGACTTGGGGCACTGCTTGTAAATTTCTCTGCAGTTTTAGGAAGGGGTAAATTTGTTTGCCCACAGATCAACAAAAAAAAGGGATTACATAGAACAATTGCTATGAAAAAGCAAATTGATGGAGATTCTAAAATATCATTATAAATTCCCTATAGCAAGGGACATAGAAAGTTTTTCCTGTACATAAATGGGGGAGAAGGGACGTAGTAATTTGCTATAGCAAGTCTGAATAATTCAATTTCGAACTCTTTGCTGCAATGAAATACATCTGACCATGGAGGCAACAATCTGAGGTTCTCTTTTTCATGTCTTTTTACTGCTCCTGATTTAGCGTCACATTTCACCAGAAAATGGATGGGAGGCCGTGTGACTCCTAACGCTTTCTGCATTCCCATTAGCTCTCTCCTCGAGGGCAATATGCTGGGGCTTTTTAGCAGATTCAGAGCAAATTTTTTAAATTTAAGGGCAGTTTACTAGCAACAACTTATCCCTCTCTCTTTGAGTTTTTTTTTTTTTTCATTTTTAGATTGAGGAGGGCAGAGTGGGGTTTGGGTTAGGCTTCAGAATGATAAATCAGGCAACTAGTGTTCCATGAGAAGAAGCATATCAAGGAGGACCAATGGAGTTGTTAGTCAAGAAAAAAAAGGGCGACCGATTGAGTGATCAAAAATTTTCTTTTGAAAGTTTTTAATGTAATTTATTTGGGACCATTTATCTTTTGTTACACGGAGGTCATGGACAACTCTAGCCATCCAATTTCAAATTGGATAGTTTGCTCAATGTGACAAAGTCTAATAAATCCTTTTTGAATTTTGAATCGCGTCAATGGCACATTCAAAACCACTCTCAAGAAATTGAGAGAACAATATTCGTGTAAAATTCTTGACACCTATAGAGAGGGATGCGTGTTCTATTTGTAATTGTTATGTACTCATTTTTTATTGGCCCAATCAAATATGTGATTACAATAAATCTGTACAAATAAAAAAGAGATTATCATACGAAGAGATTACAATAGATCATCTTCATCCTTATTATGATCGTATCTTTCTAGATCATTATCATCATTCTTAATACTCCCCCTCAAACTATTGTCAATGTGGAACATAAACGCCTTGTTTGCTATCGAATGATATTTTGAAGTTGGAAGACCTTTTGTAAAAATATCAGCAAGTTGCTCTGTAGTTGAAACATAATCAAGAGTAATCTCTCCATTTTAAGCCTTTTCTCGGATAAAATGATGATCCAGTTCAATGTGCTTGGTCTGTGCATGAAGAACTGGATTAAAGGCAAACTTAATTGCACTGGTTATCACAACGTAGAATTGCATATTGAATTTTTATACCCAATTATGATAGAATGTGGTGGTACGAAGTGATTTCAGCAGCTACTGATGTCTTGGCAGCATTCCGAGTAACTCCTCAACCTGGAGTTCCACCTGAGGAAGCAGGAGCTGCCGAATCTTCCACTGGTACATGGACAACTGTGTGGACCGATGGACTTACCAGCCTTGATCGTTACAAAGGTCGATGCTACCACATCGAACCTGTTGTTAGGGAATAAAATCAATATATTGTTTCTGTAGTAGAAGACATTGTTCGATATTCTGCTTCTGAACTTGAACGTAAAACGATCATTTGCTTTTTGCTACTCCAAGACACTAGAGATCCTGCAAAGAAAGTACAAAAATCCAGATATTGACATTCTTGTATTGGGATCTCCAGCCCAGTCTGCATTAGAATAGGCGATAAGGTTAACCTTTATTCTATCAATGGGAAAGAAAAGACCATCATAGAGGGTACCCTTCACATATCGAAGAATCCTTTTAGCCGCTATGATGTGCATCTCATTGAGTGAATATAAGGTAATGTAGACCATCAACAAGACTTCTATATTTTTCTGAATCTTGAACATGATCAGGATACTAGTAGATAGTTTCTTTGTTGTGACCATTGGCATTGGTAATGACTTACAGTTACTCATTCCAAGTTTTTCTAACAAATCCAATGCATATTTGTGTTGTGGCAATTTCATATATTATCTCATGCGCTCAACTTCCACACCTAGAAAATATTTTAGATTTTCAAGATCCTTCATAACAAATTGTGCTCCGAACATTATCTTTAGCTGCTTTATTTCATCAACATAATTCCTTGTTACAATGATATCATCGACATAGAGAAGCACCATCACCAGCTTTTGTTTTTTCTTTTTGAAAAATAGGGAGTTGTCTGCAACACTTCGAGAGTAACCCTCTATAAGGAGAGCTTTGCAGAAGCTTGCAAACCAAGCTCGTTGGCTTGTTTGAGACTATATATTGCCTTCTTTAATCTACACACAAGATCAGACCCTTTGGATTCTGTATGCCCGGGTGGTTGGTCCATGTAGACTTCTACTTGGAGATCACCATGCAAGAATGCATTTTTGACATCTAACTGATGTAATCTCCAACCACATACATTAGCCATTGCTAATGCTAGTCTAACAGTTCTCATCTTCACAACTGGACTAAAGCTTTCTTCATAGTCCAACCCATACTTTAAATTATACCTTTTAGCTACCAATCTTGCTTTATATCTTTCAATAGGGTCATCAACCTTGTACTTGATCTTATCAACCCAAAAGACAGTGCAAAAAGAAGAAGGGAGAAACTAATGAGGTTGAAGATTGGATTTTGGTATCCAAAAAAAAGTTATGAGGGATGAAGAGAACTTCTTATAGGGAGAAATGAATTTTTTTTTTGTAGAGAGGGAGATACGAAATTACTCTTACTATTAATATACATGGTTGAAGCTTATTCCAAAGGAAGTTAAGTTTGATCGTCATTTTCACAAATGCAAGAAACTTTATGGCACTGGTGATCTATTCACACTAAGATTGCCATCAGTTTGGACAACTTTTCTGGATCGTTATGTTCATGAAGTTGTTTTAATCTCACCAAAGCAATGTGAAGTTACCAACGTACTTCGGATTTGAACTGTGCTAAGGCTGAAGTGACGAATATAATGTATCGATTTCATAAAGTAACCTACGATTTAAAAGAGCAATGATCCAATTCAACCGTTATATCATGGTATAATGCAACGACATTTCTAGAAAATCATATTTGTTGTATTTGTATGATCTCAAATTTTGCACACACACTCTCTTCATCTCAATATTCAATTCCCCCCTAAAAAAAAAGTTTAATTTGAAGTCTATATATGGTCAAAATGAGTCACTTACAAAAGCAAATCAAAACCATTCATTTTGTGAATTTCAAGATCTTAGCCTTTATAAACTCAAAATCATTTTTTTCTTTTTTAACATTGTTTATCTAATGATAATAAAACCATCCAAAAAAATTAGAAATGAAAAAAAATCCTTCTAAAGCCTAGATCTAAACATCTTACCAAAATAAACGGCCTATGTTAATTGGGCTAAAAAAATACCTTCTAAGTTATATTTTCAATTTTTTCTTTTTTTATGATTGTTCATTAGAATGAAATAAGTGTATATTTCAAAATTTGAATCAAACAAATGGTCATAAGATAGTTTTTTAAAATTATTGCATCATATTATTATACAAAAGTTGTATAAAATCATTGCTCGATTTTAAAAAAGGAACTAGAGGAAAAACCTACCACACCCTAATTACCACAATGTAGTTTCTATTCCCACACACCACCTCACCGACACTAGAACTAGTCAAAAATTAAAGCACCCGCCGTTATAGCACGTCACAGTATAGGAGATATTTACGCAAAAAATAAGGCATCCGCCATTACAGCACGTCACAGTAAAGGAGATATTTACGCAAAAAATAAGGCATCCGCCATTACAGCACGTCACAGTAAAGGAGATATTTCATCAAAATTGAAGTATTAAAATATGTTATCATTGGCAACAATTAGAGACAGCAATAACTAAAGGAAACACTTTCTAGAGACGGCAACAACTAAAGGAAACACTTTCTATAGAGGCGAGGCTCTAAACAATCAAATTAGAGCCCACTAAAAATTTTTACTAAAAGAGGTTGTTTGATGCTTAAATATCCTCAAATTGACCATCCTGTCCGCAAGATACATGGGCAAGAGAAACAAATGGATTTCAAGTTTCGGAATAGTGCATCTTGTAGCGCATTTTTGGACCGTCAATTTTCAAGTTTTCGTAGATATGTTCGAACTACACTACTTTGAAGCTTTAAATTTTACAATTAAATATAAAAATATATTTTAAGGCGATCACAAAGATTTCCAATATTGAAACCACATTTCTTGAAGCTATTTGAAGGTGAGCTTTACTTTGACTGTTTAGAACCTCGGCTTTATACAAACCACACCCATAACTAAACAAATAATATTGAATTCGTGAACATGGCCTTAAGTCAAGAAACAACTTAAGGATGCCTGTTGAGAAGGTAATTGAATTCTTATTGAGAAAAAAAAAAACCAGTGATTAGTTGTGCAAAACAACCTCGCCCTCCATCAGCTATGAATTCCAAGCTTTTGTGAAGTTATTAACATACTTCTCACTTGAGGAGATGCCAGGCTACAAAAGCAACCCACTTAATGCATGAAAATCATCAATGAATTTCATGATTTAAAGCAAGAGTAGATAATTGAGAACATTGCTTAACATGCTATCAAATACAACAATATAAATTATCGAGATTGTATCATCCAATTGCTAGAGGTGTGGTTATGTGGGAATTATGAAAAAAGTGAAATAGGAGAACCTTTGATAGAGTTGGTCTTTCTATTGACAGAGTGATTGATAAAATGATGCATTCTATTTGCTGTTGGTTGTCAATTACCAAAAAAAAGATGGGGAATCTCAGAAGTGGACATAAGGGTTAACATACATAATCTGTTTTAGATAGGGTGGTTAGGGGTAGGCCTAGACGTTCATAGACTCTACTTGTGGAGAGAGTCTTTAAAATGAATTTTAATGGCAGTTCTTTGGAAACCTGATGTAGTCAGGTTTTGGAGGGGTGGTGAGAGACTCAAAAGGTGTTGTATTGTTCTCCTATGCTGGACAGCTTGAGATTAAGACGACCAATTATGCTGAACTCTTCACTCTACTTTATGAATTTTTCATTCAAAAAAAATTCTGAGTAAGTTGTACGGTTGGAGGTGACTCTCTAAATGTCATCAATTGGTTAACGGGAGAGCTTCTTGCTCGGGGTGGAGCTTCTTTATCTTCTATCTTGGTTTGCAACAACGTAATCTCTTTTTCGTCACTGATTAATAGAAGTAGATAAATTTTGTCTAAAAAAAATCATTTAAACGTGTCACTGAAATAACAGATAGCAACTATTTGGGTAATCCCTAAAGCAAAATAAAAGTTACTTTATAAGAAAGGGTGCGGTTTGTATAGAGCCTAGCCCCGAAACAATCAAAGTAAAGCCTACCTTCAATAATATCAAGAAATGTGATTTCAATAATGGAAATGTTTGTGATAGCCTTAAAATATATTTATATTTTTAATTATAAAATGTTAACTATTTAAAAATAATGTAGATAGAGCATATCTATGAAAACTTTAAAATCTTGAGAATTGACAGTCAAAAAACGCGTTACAAGATGTACTATTTCTAAAACTCGAAATCTATTTTTTTCTCATGTCCATACATCTTGATGCCGAGATGATCAATTTGACCATATTTGATTATCAAAACAACCTCTTCTACTAAAATGTTTAAGGTGGGTTCTAATTAGATTATTTAGAGCCTCGGCTCTATATAAACTTTTTCCTATAAGAAAATAGGGATTGGTAGATGAAAAGACTTATCTTTTCTCCTGGGGTGTTCATCATGTCCACGAATTGGACCCAAAAACTAACATACAATAAAATGGAAGTATTTTTATCCTATGACATGCATAGGCAAATTAAAAATAAGAGAAAATTATGCATATATCCATTGTTTTTACCGTTAACACCTAAAATTTGTACTTCTTACACTAATTTTTTATATTACATGTATACCCCTTCTTGGGAACCCCAATGTTTTTTCAAAATTCCCCTTATTGTGGATCATCACGACCCGAAATACAAAATTTAGACCTTCAATGCAATATGAAAATCTGATTGTAAATTTCGGATTTTGAAAATCCGAAGATCATAGTTTTTGGATTTTGCAAATTTCAGATTTTTATTGGATTTTGCAATAGTTTGGATTTTGAGAAGCCAAAAATTGTAATTCTTAGATTTTGAAAATTTTAATATTTGGATTATCAAATTACCGATTTTCAAAATTCAAATATGTTGGGGGACTCTAAAAAGGAGCTTTTTGGGATGTCGAACGTTCAAAAAGTTTTAAAATAAAATTTGAAAATGATAAATTTTTGGATATTGAGAAACGAAAAAGTTTTGACGCTATTTGTAGGCCCGCCCCAATTTTAAATTTATTTTTGGGGCCTTTTTTTTTATCTTCTTAATTCCCCTACATCCGATAAGATGAATAAAGCTGACTAGAAACAAGTGCACAATTTGCTCTCTCAGGAGCAACAAATAATTTTCCCTCCGGCCCTTATGAGTCCCCACCGTTCCTGCTCAATCATCATCTTCTTCCCTCTTCGGAGCGCGGGACGGGGTCTACTGCTCCATCTCCACCTCTAACTCAAGCTTGGAAAATTGGTCTCTCAATTCACATTGGCATCTGCAGTGAGGAGTTGTAAGTGGTAAAATACCGTCAGCTTCTTAGCTTACCGACTATTTCCCGGAGTATTTCTTTATCTATTATCGTCATTCTCTCCATCAAAAAATAAACATTTTACAAACCATAAACATTTTTGCGATTTTATGTCCCTAACCAGGATCAGATTCGTAATGTTTTTCTTTATTCAAAATGCTAATTATCCAAATAAAAACCGCAGTTGGATTCTTTTTACTTTTCTTGTATATCGTTCATGATATCTGCCGATTCATTTCATGGATGTCTTTGGGAATTGATTCTTCTCCTCTGCTGTGCATGTTGATGATAATTATCATTGCTGAATTTTTCTGCCATCTCTATTTGGAATTTGGAGTACGCTGAAACAAGTGGACAGCATTGAAACTTACTAAGATCACTTAACTCGCCCAAAAAATTAAACATTCCTGTTCTTTACCCCAATTCTTTACTTGCCGGTATCATTTATTGGTTGTCTGCTTTTGGTGCAATCTTATGTACTTTTTTTCCTCCTCAGATTTGTTGCAGTCCATTGGTGTCTTTTACTCTACTTCTATGCTCTAATATATTATTTTTGGTTATCTTCCTTTGGTGATATAACTTCAGTTATCTCGTCGCATAATCTGTCTTGGCTCGTTCTAATTTGATGTTTTGGTGCTTGGTGTTTCTTCCAGGTAGGAAATGGCTCGAATAGTTGCATTGAGCTCCCCCTCCTCCAATTGGTCCTTCCAATTTCATGGAGGTGCTCTCATGAATAATAGATTATTAAAGGTTGAACATGCGAGGTATTCAACTCCATTTTTTCCTAATTCTCAGGAAGGGCATTTAAAGCAATGTAGAAAAAGGAATACACGTCTTAGGGTGGAAGGTTCAAGAGCATATGGTGATAATATAGATTCAGATGATTCAGAAGATGACGACGATGGTGATGATGACGATGGTCAAGATGAGCAACCTACTCAGAGTAATGTTGATCATGTATGCCCTACTTGGTTTCTGCAATCTAGTATTTTTAGATCAATTAATAACTTTATTTTTTTTCATTTAGGATTATTACTTGAGTAGATACTTGCTTCAAATTTGTGACCTTAACTTTTTTTTCTCGTTTAAGTTTCGCTACCACTTCTTTCATATGATTTTTCTCTAGGTATCTCAATTTAGATCTAGTTATTGCATGTCATAAAAAAATTAGTTGTTTTCTTCCGGTATCGATAGTTTGTGCCTGATGAAATTTCTAGCTAGAGTGTATGCTTTCTATATGCACGAATCAATGCAAGGTAAAGGTCTTTCTTAGTGTGGGACAAGGATGTCGTTAGTGCTTGAGGAGTTTGGGCACATTAATGGTTGGAAGAAGCATACATTTGAGGAAGATGAAGAGAAAAGATAATTGTTCTTGAGGTTGGATATTAAGATCTTCTTAAGCACTTGATATATTTCAGGCATAAACTGCATTTACTTTGATAAATCCAGTTTTTTGATGGGATTGAACAACCTCTTCTGTTTTGGTCACTTTGGAGGGGTTGAGGGTTTGTATATCTTCAAATGAATGGATCTAAATTCTTCATGTGGTAGTTATGTCTGTCTTTGCTCAATGAATGGGTAATGGATCCTCATTTGCTATGAAGAAGCGATAAAAGCTTGTTGAGTAGCTTGTCTTGGATAATATGATAGTGCACCTCACTCCAGTCTTCCTATTGAACACATGATCAGAAACATTGTTGATCACAATGTTATACCATGTTAAGGGGTGGGAAATGAACACCTCTTATCATCTATTAATGCCCAGTGGCACACTATCTTAATGCATATATGGATTTCATCCTCTTCTCGACCTTTGCACTAGGATCTTTTTAGTGCAGAAAGAAACATGGGAATCTCTAAGAGATGTACAAGAGCCAAGTGTAGATTTTCTCGTTCGAGACAATCTCCCAGTTTGAATTTGCATGTACCCTTAGCTCAAGATTTGGCTGGAAATGTAGAGCTCTTCATGACCTTATATTTATTTGGTGTGTCTATTAATACAATGTGCAAAGGTCATGTGAAGTTTGCTGGAGGACAGTGTGAAACATAACTTACTGATGGACGACTCCGGTTGCATGAATGTTTAGTTGGTTTTCAGATATAAAATCCGCTCATTAAGTACTTATATGCAGTTGGCTTGAAAGAGCACCTCAAGTATCTATAGATAGCTTTAGTATCAGCAAAATGGGCATGATAAATACCCTCTATATGTTAACTTATTGGGCAACAATGATGCCTTTCATTTTTCTTTTGTTTCTCATGAGGGCATTCCCCGTTTTTTAGGGAACATATGGTGAGTTGAAGAGAAAGAAAGACACTCCTTCAATGTTGCCAAGCATCTATATCCTAAAAACATTCTTGTTGACTGATTAGCATCTTCAGGGATTGTTGAAACCATAAAATAGGAAATGCTATATCAGTTTTCTATGGAACTTTTTCTTGGACATCTAAAAGTCTACTTTGGTGATGCTCCTTTGGCCGAGCACCTTGGAGTGTTGCACCTTGGTTGCAGTCTGTAGAAGTTGAGCTTTCCTGATATTATCTGGGGCATCTTGAATGAGCATAATGCGAGGATTTTCCCCATGAACAGCCAAATGGTGAGATGGTTGAAGAGGTACACAATGTTTCAACGATTTGTGAGGTTTGGCTGTTCTAGGATTTAGAGCTCAGGGCTTCTTGTGAGGCTAGAGGTAATGGGCTTATAGGGTGCTGATGCCCATGCGATGAAGAGTTATGTGGGAGTCCTCATCACATCGAGTTCTCAAGCTCAAGTTCAATGATGGCTCTTTTAGGAGCTGTTGGGATCAGAAGCATAGCTGGAGACAGAGAACTGGTAAAGCATGACTTTTTCAGGTCTGTTTGGCATCTTTAACTTGATGGTGGCATGGGGCTTCTTCTTTTCAGTGGCCCAAAATTCTTCTTGTCCTTGCTTTCAGACCGTTTGATGGGGGACTGTCTTAATGTCGTTGTATGAGCTAAACAAGAGGCAACTTACCCTTGGAGGATTGCTGGCAAGTTGGAGCCTGCAGAAGTTTCTCTGCATCAGCCTTGAGTAATTCTTATTTCAACATTTACTGGGAGAAGCCACTGATGATACTGATATTTAAGCCAAGCATGGGGCGAATCTTGAGTCCCTTATTAGGGGGTGAAGATCTTTTTGTTAACTTCTTGCTAGCGATCTGTGTTTGTTGTTGTTTTGTCTTTCTCCTTCTTTTTTCTTCTTTTTCCTCTTCTGTTCTCCTTAATTTGTCTTTATTCTTCTCCTCTTCTAGATTCTGCTGTTCTTTTGATTATACATCATCATTTGCATGCACTCTGATGTAAAACTTGATTGATTCTGTTTCTCTTCAAACCAATGAGTGATAAGTGATAACTATAATAAAATGAATTGTTTTGATCAGCAGCACCTAAATTAGGCTTTTTCTTTTCTTTGAAGTTTCTCAAAATATATTCCGATTAAAAAAACTAAATTTTATTTTCTAATAGCTCTCTAAGTTGCCATTGTGAGGCCAATAGAGAATAACCCACTAAAAACTTTCCATTTATTTTTCATTTTGTTCATTAGCAATTTCCCCTATTATTTAAGTGGGGTATGACATTGATGCTGTTGTCTTCCCTTTGTCATGCACCTTGCTAGCTGGGTAAGGTGATCTTTGTTTTCACAATGTTTCCACTATATTTCACTTGCAGGTGAAGGAGGACTCATTTCGTGAGGATCTTGAGAAAATTGTTGGCAAAGATGATTCAACTTTTACTGGCATTGATCTTGCAACTCTCATAAGAAACAAATACGGGCGGTCTTATGATGTCCAACTTATAAAGAAGGTAGCTGTTTTTCTTGGTTGCGTGATGTTTAGGGGTCATTGGTTCCTGTAAAATTATTAGAGTTGGAAATCTAGAGTGTCTTCTTGAAGCCAAACCATTCTTAAGAATCACTGAATTGCATTTGAATACCAGGGCCCCGTTTGGATGGCCAACATCTAATAAGCGGGGGCCAGAAAGGGTCCATATCCTTGAATGGCAGAGCTGGCCAAACTGTTTCCTTTTTACACCCATAAATGGGCGTGGGAGTAAAGGGGCTTATTTGTTAATATGGTTCATCCAAACGGTGGCTAGTATTTTCTTAAGTTATATTGTTTCCTTTACATTGGTATGTAATGTTTGCAAGTTGCCTAGTAAATGATGATGTTCACTTGTTTGCTTAAGTTTAGATATTTTTATGTTACTTGAACAAAAGTAACTCTTTTCCTTTTCTTCATGGCACGACTAGAATCGAGTCATTTGATAATTGTCTCATGTATCAGGCCTTTGCCTTAAAATAGGCTTTTGATGCGAATTGCTTTCCTATAGCTGGATTGGAGTAATCTTTTGAAATCTTTTGCTCACAGAAATCTGGTGGTGGGCATCACTCAAGTCATTTTTCCAGATGGTCCTATATTGGATACGAATGGCGTGTACCAATTGTTTTGGTAGAATTGGTTTACCATTTTTGAAGTTTAGGGCAAGTATGCCACAGGGTGCATTTCTCAGTGCTGCCTTCCAAGAGGTTTGGGATAACTTCTTAGTGAGATATAAGGGGTTGCATGTCTCATTGAGGCACGTGTTTCCAAATGATGCCAGATTGAGCCATTACTAGGTGGACTGCCCTTTATGGAATGATGAACATAAAACCATGATTGCATTGGGGGCAAATATGCAATAATGAAAGAGACTCATCCCATATTATTTCAAATCGTTGTTCCATGCCATACTAGTGTGTCTCTAAATCTACATGCTCCACTTCTTAAGTTGTCTATTTGTCATAATGGCATGTTAGCCAAACATTCATTTACATGTGCACATTTGCATGATATTCTAAACACACGTATATAGTTTGTACACCTGTGGGGCCTAGTGCCATACATTACATGTACATTGGATATGTATAAACAGATACCAAGAGAGGTCAAGGATCTATCCTTTAAATAGAGATTAGCTTTTGTTATTGGGACCCCCTAACATGGGTGGCGACGCTGCTCTGGGAACGCGATCTTGTGCTCCTAGAGCAGGATCATAATCCATCCACGAGCCCGTGTGATCCCAAGCCACTACGAATCTGTCAACTTAACGCACCAATATTTTTTATATTGATAGGAGAAGAAGCAATAGATGCATTTTAATTAATAAAAGAAAGCAATAACTGCATATCCATAAACAAAGAGAAAGTAATAATTATATATTACTAAAAAGGAAACCAATAATTATTGAAATTCTTGTTCCATAAATTATTCAACGTAAAAGAGATTTCTAAAACCACATTAATCACAAAGAGAATGTTTTAAATCTAATGCTTCTAGACAATGGCACGTCCATTTTTTGTCACAAGTGTTTCTGAGATTCTGATTCTCACGTCTTTTAAAAATGTGTACAAGAGAGAAAATAATCCCTTTCTCCATCTCTCTCTCTCTATATTTCTATATCTATATGCTCCATGTACCTCATGCTTTTTTTTTCTTAAGTTGAAGGGAAGGGGAATTTATGAATAAAAGGGCAGCAATTGTACATAGTTTGATCGAAATTGTATCCTGTACTATATATTTACAATGTACAAATAAATATTTTTAGTACATTATTCTGAAGGACTTATACATGGAAGACTGAAGTAGGTAAGTA